TTGTACTGCAATTCCACAAAATTGAAAATATTTCTAAAACGGTAAGGTTTTTAAACGGTAAGTTCAAGAAAAAAGTGTGATACACTTTAATCAAATTTACCTTTATTTCAATCGTAGAATCTAAAAATAGAATAATATACAGGGTGTTCCGTTTAAAAAAATAGAACTATAATATTTTTTACTTATTTGGGACACAATGTATCTGTGGGGCTGTATCTTGTAAAATTGTTATTAAATTGCAGCTCTAATAATCCTTCAACGAACCCAAAACTTACAATTTGTAAAAATCTAGTCGTTTAGCTACAATACTGATCCGTGTCGTATGTGGTGAACAACCCTATATAATAAATTTAAATAGAAGATATTAGCTTTATTGCCTCCGGGTTGCCTTTTAGTCCAGTAAATGACCGAGAAAGCCTCAAATGACCGAAAAATCAGTTTTAACAAGTGTTGACAAATTAGCTATTATTAGTGAAAATATGAATAAGTTTGTAAAAATCAGAAAATTTGTGGGCCAGGAATGTTTGCCCGGTTTTTTTTATAATCATAGAATATGACAAAATTCAAACAAGTTTCAAACTGTGACCTAGCTGTTGTAAACCTTTTAAATGAACTTTGGGTCATCGAAAAATATTAAATTTTAGCCGAGTTATTAAGCCGGAGCGTTAAAGCTGGATTTATAAACTCGGAAGTTGGCGTTCAGTTGAGGTTCAGTTGCAGTTGGATGTTCGCGGCAGTTGAGGTTCAATATTTTTGCATTTATAAACTGTCAGTTTCGGTTGTAGGTTAGGTTTGGAATTGTGAAAATTTCGAACGTTTTTCTTTCGATTTAAAAATACTTCTGGTATTTGTTAAAGTTCAAACACAGTAATCCACGATTACGCAAAATATAAACATCACATTAACAACAATAAGGGTCATTTTCCAATGCATCGGCGTACTGTGCTTCACGTGATCGACAGGCGCTTATTCATTGGCTGTCGCCGAACGTCGCCAGCGGTCGCCAACTGCCGACATAAACATTGACCATCTTTGAACTCCGCTGAACGTAAAACGAACTGCCAACTTTTCGACCAACTGACTTTATAAATGCGCGCGTTCATTTCATAGCGTTGAACATTTTGAACGGCAACTGAACCTCAACTGAACCTCAACTCCCGACTTTATAAATCCAGCTTAAGACTTTACAGGGATTTTCGAGGCCCCGGAATATCTCAAAAACTAGTAATTCTATGTAAAAATGATAAGGACTATTTTTATAGGTAATTACCTAAGCTTCATTTTTGATTTCAAGAAATTTTTTTGTAAATTGCATATTTTGGCAGATATTTGCGAAAAACTGATTCTGCTATTTGGGACCATTTTTTTTTCGCCGAAGCTGGTCAAGGAATTTTTCACCTAAAACCACTCCCCAAAAAGTACACAATCCGCCTGAAAAAATCCGGTCGACGAATTAAACCGTGGTTTCAACCTTCATTTACTGGACCATTTCCAAGAGGAAAAATTTTTATATTGACATTTTGAGAAAAATGCATTTCTTCATAAAAAAAATTATGATTAGTAAATTTCTTTTCAAGAATAAGTTTGTCTCCATCGATTCTGAACCAAAAATCTGAAAATTTTTAAATATTTTATTGAAGATACTCCCACACGATTACAATAAGTAACAATCATATTTTATTGTTTATTATACCGAGATTCCTTACAAGGTGTCCATTTAATACCTCTTCAACAATAAACAATAACATTCTATTTATTTTCGGGTTGACGTGCGACCTAAAACATGATCGAATATCGACCTACTCTAACGCAATTGCGGATCGTACCAGCATTCTTCGCGATTAGTAATGTACGAGGAAGCATGTGCCAAGCGGAAGCGGTACCGCCGCGTTTGACTTTCATCGGCCAGCTGTAAGTTTTACAATATTTATATTTACACCTATTTTTACCTTTAAATAATTTTATCAGATGGGTTTTTCCCAGTTTTTATGTTGGCAAAAGCAATAAGTCACCTATCACAACTCAAATTTCCTCTGAAAGGTCAACATTTTTAGGGGGGAGTATTTTTTAGACCAAATTTTTTAAAATTGAATTTTTGTAAACATGTTTAATGAATATGAGCCACTTATTAGACTCGAGGAAGTACCTACAAGGAAAGGTTCAAAATCAGGGTTCTGAGGATGTTCCGGAAATCTCTGTATGTGAAATTTACAATGCTCTAAAAAATATGAAGAATAATAAAGCTCCGGGGGATGGTGGTGTCGTCACAGAAGCGATAAAGATGGGAGGAACAGTATTAATGACCAATATTCAACGGCTGTTCAATCTCTGCCTGGAAAATCAAAATATCCCTACAAAGTGGAATAACTCAATAATTATCCTCTTACATAAAAAAGGAGACATAGCAGACCTGGAAAATTACAGACCAATCAGCCTTCTTAACCATCTTTATAAACTATATACCCGAATTATAACAAATAGACTAGAGGCAAAATTGGACTTCTACCAACCTAAAGAGCAAGCTGGTTTCCGTTCCGAATTTAGTACCAACGATCATCTGCAGTGTTTAAAAACCTTAATAGAAAAAACCATCGAATACAATCGTCCCTAGCACTGATATTTGTCGATTTTAAAAAAGCGTTCGATACGGTAGAATTACCGACCATCCTAACAGCGCTACAAGAATGTAGAATCGACCATCGATATTGTAACATAATAAAAAAACATACATACATGTATGTAGGTATATGACAATGCTACAACAACTGTAAATCTACATTCCACAACTAACCAGATAAAAATAAAAAGGGGAGTTAGGCAGGGCGATACCATGTCGCCAAAATTGTTTATTACTGTTCTGAGCATGCATTCAAAATGCTAGCTTGGCAACAAAAAGGAATAGTTATCGATGGAGAGAGACTCAACCACCTACGCTTTGCGGATGATATCGTTATAGTGTCAGATAGTCTGGGAGAGATCAAAGACATGCTTCAAGAACTTAACGATGCATTACACGAGATTGGGCTAACAATAAATGTTGACAAGACTAAGATACTGACTAATATGGTGCCCAGCGAACACATACAAATTCACAACAACAGAATAGAATTAGTCCACAAATATGTATACTTGGGCCATGAGATCAAAATAAGCAGAGATAACCAAACCTGTGAACTGTCTAGACGAATTACCTTGGGATGGGCGGCTTACGGAAAAATGAGGGACATCTTTAGAGCAAATATCCCAATACACCTGAAAAGAAAGGCATTTAACCAATGTATCCTCCCGGTTTTGACCTATGGCGCAGAGACACTCACTCTAACAAAAGCAACCGCAGAAAAATTGAGAGTGACACAGAGGCGGATACAGAGATCTACGATTGGCCTGACTTTGAGAGATCGAGTAAGAAATGAAGAGATACGCCGACGTACGGGAGTGGATGACATTATCCAGCGAATCACAAAACAAAAGTGGAGATGGGCTGGACACATTGCTAGAATGGCAGACGGGAGATGGACCAAAAGACTTATAGAGTGGAGACCAAGAGCCGACAAGCGTAGCCAAGGCAGACCTCCCACCCGATGGACCGACGACCTGAAAGGAATAACAACTAACTGGATTGCAACAGCTAAAAACCGCGAGAACTGGAGACGTTTGGAGGAGGCCTATGTTCAACTATGGACGTGAAAGGGGGCTGCGTGATGATGATGATGATGAGCCACTTTTAAGAATCACCCGGTATAGACCGACTTAAGAAGAAAATAATCCAGAATTATAGGGGCGTATAAAGGAACAAATTTCAAAAACCATTAAATTACACTTCTTACAGTTATTCAGAGACTGTAAAAACGAAGATGATAACATTTAATATGCATACAAAATGCGATGGTTCTTATTGGAAACGGTATTGTGCGTGCATCGTTGCAGATAGAACAATACCTATAATTTATATCCAATTATAATCATAATTTCATCGAATATAAATTATATTCGGTAATTATAAATCATCTTCCATGTTATTCATCTAACACCTGTCCCTGATTAAAAAAGAAACATATAAAAGAAGACTAGTCTATTCAATTCGATATCAAATAAAAGTAATGATTTCTAAATACAATATCTATATCAAGTAGCGAGAACTGGGTCATAAGGAAAGATGATTAAAATTAATTAAAAATTATTAAACTGCAGGTACGAATTGTGGCACACTTTTATTAAAGAATTAATAAAATAAATAAAAATGGTAAAAAAAATATTAAAATGATTTAAATCGTAAAAGAAAATTGAATAGCTTAAACTCAGCTGGAAAATCACAATACTTGGACGTTTTGTCTTTCCAATATACGACTCACCGCACTCCCAAGGTACCTGGTAAAAGTACTATTTCTCTTGTTTAGATGTTTTTGGTTTTGTTTTAGTTCAGACATTTTTTATAGTAGTCCCAGTCTGAAAATCATTTTTTATTTTTTCCTGTCGTTACTTTTTAGAAAAATCAAAAACTAATTGCACATTCTTATAGCCACTTTATTAGGGCTATCTGATACTATTTTTAGATTTTCAAATTAGCTGATAATTTGTGAGATACAGAGGCCGACTTAATTTTTTTTAAATACAGACCTGCATTTTTTATCCCAGTTTTTGAAAGAACTTGGTCTCATGAGTACAATGATATGCCACACTTTATACTTTTTTTTGTTTCGGAGATTTGAACACAATTTATTTAAACTAATTTCAAGTCCGGCTCGGTTTTTTTTAATATTTAATCTATTCATCGTTACAATATTGATAAGCCTTCAAACTTAACAGTAACGTGGGGTAAAATTAGTGATGTTGGTAGCGAATATTTCCATTCGAATTTTGCAGGAAATTTCAGAAATTTCCGAAATATTCGGTCCCAAAATCGCGAATATTCGCAAAAATCCGAATTTTGCAAGAAATTTCTTTTCAAAATTCAAGACATTGAGCAAAAATTTAACGAAAGTGTATCAAGTATGCCGATTCTGATGCCGTCCGCTCGGCTCACCCTCCGCGAAGAGGACGTGGTCCGGCTGGCGCTCGAGTTCCTGCACAACCGCGAGCTGCACATCTCGCAGCTGAGCCTGGAGCGCGAGACGGGCGTCATCAACGGCAACTACAGCGACGACGTGCTCTTCCTGAGGCAGCTCATCCTCGACGGCCAGTGGGACGACGTCATGGAGTTCATCCAGCCGCTGGAGGCGCTCAAAACCTTCGACATGAGGAAGTTTAGCTATGCCATACTCAAGCACAAGGTGGGTAAGGTTTGGTTGCAATAAAAAATAGTAATTTGTTAAAACGGCTCAATTTATTTTGTTTGTTGTTCTAAATTCAAACATTACAATATGATCTAGACAATTTTACTATATTTTTATAACTTTGCAAACAAATCACTTTTGATAATAGCTTATTTTCCAAAATCAAGACAAATTTGCTGACAACTATATATTGGGACAGCACAACAAGAAATTTGTTTAATACGGAGTTACATCACCTTTCGCCTTAACAACTGCGTGAACTCTTAATGGCATTGTATTTACCAAAGATTGGCACATTTGAGGAGAAAAATTATCCCAAATTTCCTGCAGTTTTGCCCCGCAAATCAAAAATTGTTCGTTGAGGGTGTCTTCTTAAATATTGCTTCATTTTATGCCACACAGTTTCTATCACATTGAGGTCCGGACTACTTGCAGGATGGGATAGAACTTTTATATTATTATTACCGAACCAATTTTTAGTTGATTTTGCTGAATGGCACGATGCTTCATCTTGTTGGAAAATATAGTCTTCGTTTGGAAACAACTCTTGAGCACTAGGCAAAAGTGAGGTCTCAAGTATATGTTGATATCTTTGGGCGTTAACAGTGCCATCTATAAAATTTAATTTGCCCAAACCTCTTGCTGACATGCAACCCCAAACCATTATCCCCTTAGGAAATTTAACAACCCTCTTTAAGCAATCTTTAGGAAAGGCTTCTGCTTTACTTTGTATTATTCGTTTTCGATGATCTCCAACGCAAACATAAAATTTAGACTCATCGCTAAATATGACCTTATTCCAATCATTTTGTGTCCACGATAATTTAGATTTTGCCCAATTGTAGCGATTTTTCTTTTGAATTTCTGTCAGTAGCGGTTTTTCTTTGGCCTAATTAAGAATTTGTATCTATAATCCTCAGGTAATTGATTATCCACACAAAATAAAGTTTACCTTGTAAAACCCCAGACCGCATTTGTGGATATATTTTCGGCAACATTCTCTTGATATATTTAAACCAGTTACAGTATTCCATTTAACTGTTACTTCGCGAAGAGTACTTCTTCTCGCAGACTTGCAATTTTTTACTAAATTTCGTAAATCTCTTTGAGATTCAACTTTTAGCCTTCACGAACTTTTACCTCTAACGTCTACATTGGCAGATTCACCGTATTTTTTTATTATATTAAAGACAGTGGTTTTTGGAATACTTAAATCATCAGAAAGTTTTCGAATTGTTTTTCCCGTACTGTATTGACGAATGATAATTTCGCGTAGTTTTTGATTTGTAGCTTTTCCACGGACCATTACTTTGAATTAAATAATTAACAAAATTGAAAATTAAAAAAATTAAAATTACTTACAGTAAACCTCACGACTCAAAGTATCGAGTCACTTACAAGCTGTCAATGCTGAAGTAAACAGTTTGCGACATTTGTGACGTTTATAGCAAAGCCGCCTATGATGATATTAATTATTTAAAAATACTCGCCCCAACATTTAGTTGTCAGCAAATTTGTCCTTTTATGAACAAAATCCTCTACTGTAAATATGGATTGATTTACAAATTCATAAAAATATTGTCAAGTTGTTTAGGATATATGGCTATGTTTATATTTAAAAAATTAAACATATATTTTTCAGTCATTTTGAAAAACCAGGGCAATAATTCCAAAATATTACCTTGTCCCAACATATAGTTGTTAGGGCTCGTAATAGCTGGCGTCAGTCTTCCTGGCACTTAACTGGTGATTCGTGGGATACGCCGGCCATTTTCACATTTACAGTAGCTGGTGCCAGTTTTACTAGTACTCAGGTTCTTAGCTCGCAGAAAAAAAACGCATCGTTTGATGGCCATCTTCCCAGAAAGCCAAGCAGCGCTAGGGGCACTCTGTTTCACCGGGTCAATTCTAGACTAATGTTACGTTAGTCTGGTTAGCTAGTAATTTAGTTACTTAATTAGTAACGGAGTTACTAGTAACTCCGCTAACATAACAATTCTCCATAAACGTCTAGTAGAGGACACTTATCGCGAATAACTATAATTCTGATTTTATTTTAATATGATTAAATACCGGGTGCGTCTCAAAAGTGGCTCACCCCTATAACCTTTTTTTTTGATATGAGATTTGGTATGTTAGTATTTGACATAAATTAGGATTGATTGACGTATTCAATTCTATTTGGCCACCTCCTGTCTTACCGGAAATGACTACAACTTTTGATTTTTAAATAGCACCCTCGATATTTTTTTACTTTATTGAAAAATGACACTCTGAATAGAATGCCATATCATATGTCAAATTTTGACATTTTTGCTGAAAAAAATCGTATTTTAAATTTCAATCTAGAGTGCCATGGCTGTGTTAAAAATACTCATTTTTAATCAAGGAGCCTTGGAAAAATAGATTTGATCGTCTAATAGTGTCTTGTCCTGGTCGGTTAAAAGATGCCCAAATCGTATTTTTATTCATATCTCAATTTTTTCAAATGGAACGAGGGTGGCTCATATTTGGAAAACGCATTTTTTACGAATAATTTGTTACCACACACTTGGTAATCACATGTTGCAATTTCAAATAAAGCATATTTGAAATTGTCAAAAGTTGACATATGATATGTCATTCTATTCAGAGTGTTATTTTATATCGAATAAAGTAACAAAATACCGAGGGTGCCATTTGAAAATTAAAAGTTGTAGTCATTTCCGTAGAACACTTTCTGTTTCACCTAAAACAATTGAATACGTCAATCAATCCTAATTTATTTCATATACTAACATACCAAATCTCGATTATTTATCTGAAGAATTAAAAAAGTTATAGGGGGTGAGCCACTTTTGAGACGCACCCGGTATAACTATCTTAAAATTTAATATTTACTAATAGCGTGCTTATAATTACAGTACATCGAATTACTCTGCATCAAATCTGAGGCAAACGTGCAAGGCTCCAGCGTGGACAACGCGGTAGAGGAAGTAGTCAAAGTACTAAACGAGTTAGAGAAGTACTGCCCAACCAAAGAAGAATATTCCAATTTATGTTTATTACTTACATTACCCAGGTAAATATCTTTTTTCTCCATTCTTATCTAAAAAAACTTTCAATTTAATTTTACGCTACTTATATTGTACTGGTATATTGCAGACTCACGGACCACCTCCAATACAAAGACTGGAACCCTTCGAACGCTAGGGTTCAATGTTTCAGGGAAGTCTACCCGTTTGTAGCAGAGTTTCTTCCGGGGGACAAAAAAAGTATGGACAGTAATGCCAATTCTAGGAACGACAGACTGATTCAATTAGTGATAAAGGGTTAGTAATAATTCTAGGATTAGTAATAAAACAGGGAATCCCATACGAATTTAGAACTGTCCAAATATTGGCTTCCTTATTAATTTTACAGCTCAGTCCTAACTAGTTTTTTAAACATTTACGTATGCTGAATGCACATGCCAAATTTCAACAGTTTTGGACAGGCAGATTTTAAGTAATTTTAGAAAAACTATACTACTATTTTTAAACTAAAACTGAACAGGTAACAATGCAAACCCAGGCAAATGTCTCCATACCTTTAGTTGATAAAGAAACTGACACTGTTAAAAAATATTAACATTACTGGATTTACTTAAGATAAAACACTAGACTCTAGTGAAATATGCCACATCGTTGGCTGTGCTAAAAAAAATATCTACCCCACGTTGGGCGCCAAAATATTTACCCGTTTTTAATGCTAACCTTACCTTATGGCGTTGATATATCCACATATATTATCTAGAGTAATAATATAATCTTAAATGTTTAACTTAATGACAATGTTTCTTTCTAGTTTTCAAAAATCAATCCAATTCAATATTAAAACTAAATATCGTCCTATTGCTGCCAAAAGTCACTAACTAACATTTTTCCGAACAACCAAATTCAATCACTAACTATGTTTTGAAGCGGAGAATCGATTGCAAAAGTCATTAACTATGATTTCTGGCTATTTATGTTTTATTTTAATACCGAATAGTTTAACATCTTTATGCAATGCAATTCATTTTTAGACGCATTTTTAGACGATATTTAATTTTTCTGATTTTTTTTAGGTATCTTATACGAATCCTGTGTAAACTACTGTCAAGCCAAAGCAACGGGAAGCGCGGACACCCACTCCCAAGAAATGAGTTTCTCCCGACTCCTAGATGGCAGTGTCGGCTTCAGCGACAGTGACCTATCCCTCCTCTCCTGGCTCCAAAGCGTACCAGCCGAGACATTCTCGGTACCATTCGAGCAAAAAACCCTCAACGTTGACGTAGAACGACTGGAACGACCCTCTTTGGAGACTTCTTGGACGGAACACATGCTGGTGACGCCCATCAAACCGAAGACGTTTCCTCATTCCGCCATGCCGTTTACCAGGCCCAGGTCCGCGGCGGATATTATGACTAGGTCCTTAATGCCGGTGCTGGATGGGTTGCCTTATGGCTTGTCGCAGAGTACTGCGGTGTCGAACGGGAATCCCAGAGCGATGGCTATGAGTACGGGGGATATTAGTTTGAACGGGCCAATGTCTAGGAGTAGTTTTGCCAGTTTTCATCTCACGGGTAAGATTTTTAATGTTGTACGGTTTGATATAATATTTTAGAGATTTTTGCTACTAACCATGTAAAATATTTTCGAGTTAGATCAAAGTACCTTCTAAAATACAAAGGCCTGCGCTTTCTCGCCTGACGTCATCATTAAGGGTCTTTTATTTTCAGTACTTTTTATATGAAGGAGGGAGATTCCCAACGTAAAAGTAACTTGAAACTCTCGTTAAGTATGACGTCATGTCTCTTCAAATCGTAAACGTTACGGCCATGGTATTGTACGAGGCGTTGGCATGTTCAAGTCAAAGTACTGCATTATTAAGTTGATACATACATTATCAATTTTTTATTTGGATAATACATTTATTTATTGACTAAATTTTATGAGACGCAAACTTATCTTATTCTCATTTACCTTATTAATGAAAATATTGTTAAACATTTTCTAAAGTTTATTATTAGATTAAAAATTTTCTGATACCTATGTTAATTTTTAGGAATTAAGAACAACAAACTAATGAACACTTCGGTCGACCGACTTTTCGAAAACGAAGGCGAAGTTTTCCTATCCAACAGTTACGCCGATTTTCAACAACTTCCTTGCATACAAGAACAAACCAGCACTCCCAAGTTACACGGCCAATCGAATAGTTCCCAGTCAGTACCAAAAAGTCCAGACAGGAAGTTTTCTAACGCTTCCACGCCAGAACACCGAGGCAGAGAGAGTCCTGCATCGGGTAGTACTGCTAGATCGTCTAGAAGGGACTCCTTAAATGAACGGTACGTTTTTATTTATATACAGTTTTTTTACGGAAGTTTTTAATACACCTTACATGACAGGTAAAAAGTTATGTCTAGACAGTTCTAAGATGGAAGACCGTCTACTGAGATGCCGTCAGTTTTCTAGGTAGTCTTCCATTTTAACTGACAGACAAAACTGACGGTAAAACTTTATGTGTAGACCCCACTTAAGATATGGATTTTAGTACACTATTTATATTTTTAATTGTATTTTTTTTAATTAAGACAGTTTTTTGGAACATAGTGATTATTTTTTTATTTATTTTCTTCAGGCCAGCTCCGCCTCATCAAAATGTCACTTTGACACCTGCCGTACCCATAGACGTGCCCCTGGACCAAAGCTATACTGGTGAACTGGTGAAAGAGTTCCAAAAAACGAAACAAAAACTACAAGAGGCTATGGCGCTGAGGGAGAGAGAACGAGAAGAATTGATGAGGCAGATGCACTATGGTGCCCAAGGCGAGAGCAATGGAAAATACACGGAAGAATGGTTAGTACACTTATTAATTTCAATGCGATTTTATTTTTTTTTCACAACAGAATTATATATCATACTAATATTTATAAATTGTCATGGGATTGCGTATGTTCAAGTCAACGATGTAACACATGGTATAACATAACATTAAGAGTGGAATAATTTTTATACAATGTCACAGATAATGATAATGATATTTGGGTTGTTGTCATAAATGACCTAAATACAAATTATTTTCATGGTGTCTGTCGGTCTGTCCGTCTGTAACACGATAACTCAAAAACCGCTGAACCGATTTTAACCAAATTTGGCACAAAATACTGTGGCACCCGAGAATCTGGCCATTAGTTTTTGGTGGGGGTGTGGGGTTGGTAAGGGGGTATGGGAGGGGGTTAAAAATTTTAAAAAAATCGTAACTCCAAAATTACAGTAGCTAGCGAAACGCGGTTTTCAATTTAAGATTAGGAATAATATTTGCAACAAAATTTGTAAAGTCGCAGTTTGTGAGATAAAAAAAATTGGAAAAATTCCTTTACTTTGAAACTAAAAGAACTGCCGTTGAAACCTTAAAACTTTTTATTAACATATTTTAGTATGGGCGGCTCTATACGTGCCTCCCGACGCCAATTTTTTTAATTGATTTATATAAAATTTGACTTATTTCAGAACGTTATTTTTTTTATATAAATGATATAATAAAATTTCTGATATAACCATCCTGTTGCTTTTGAGAATCTGCGAAATTTGACAATTAAAATAATAAATGGCTAAAAACCGTCCATTTTTAAAAAAAACTTTATTTGAAATAGTTTTAATTTTTTTTTATTAATATTTTTTTTAATTTTACATAATTATACCACTTGTAGCCATCTAGAATAAATAAGAGGTAGGAATAAAAATAATTGATGGTAAATGTATTTGCCAGTTAAATATTTATGTGTTGGTCGTATATTATATATATTTAAATTTAGTTGAAAAAAATTTAACAAAGTATGAAGATCTTTCCCATTTATCCAGATGACATGAAATTTAGGTTTGGACATCCTGGGAACTTATTACCATTACTAAGTGTCGTAATTTATTTTTCATAGCCTACTTATAAAAAATTACATTTTTGTTATAGTGTTTCTGATTAAATTACAAAGAGAGTATTATAAAAAATTCTTTAACTAAAGTACTACTATAGCGGGCTTTATTTAAAAAAAAAATCAAACTTTAGTTGAGTACCTAACTAGAGAAAATAAATATATAGGAATGTTGTTACCATAGAGTTAAAAATTAAAAGTTCTTACATATAAATGGGAGAATAATTCATAGCATAGAGCCAATTTTTGCAACAAACTTTTTTTGACTTTTCATTAAAAATTTAATCAGTAACCTGTAAATAAAATTTTACTGAAAAACGAGCTATGATTAGTTATACAAGGTAAAAATATTTATAGTATCATTAATAAAGAAACTACTTTTTCAAATATCCTTTTTCAAAATTCGGCTAATTTTTCAGTCAAAAAATTTGGTCAGTTTTTAACCATTTATAATTTTAAATATCAAATTTGATATGTATCAGAGAGGTTGACAATAATATATTTTTTTGGATTGACAAATGATGATCATTTATGGATCATTTGCCAATCCATTGACAATCATTCTAGACTTCACATTAATGTGAAATACTGTATTTGGATTTTAAAATACACGTTAGGTAAACACATTAGAGTAAATAACTTATTCAAAGAATTAAAACATCTCAAATCTTTAAACATATCCAGATTTTATTATCCCATATGATACTCCTCACATTTGTTATTGGAGATCTTTGATTATCGACAGAAAAATAAACTTCTAAAGTATTTGAGGAGTTTGAACGTTTTCATTTGATGAGGGATTTATAGTACGCAAAGAAACGTTTATTTAAATTACTAATTAGATTACTAATAAACTATGAATTTGGTTTGGGTTAAATACCTACCTACTAATATCTATAATTGGAATTTATTTATTAACTAGCGTGTACCAGCGACTTCGCGTCGAATTAATCATTTGTAATGGTGTTGATAAAGCAAAGCAAGAATTTCCATTAACATACAAACTGAATAAAATTTTCCCACATTTATGTCAGCATGAGAAAAAACAATATGGCGATATTATTATATAACTTGGTAATATTTGAGGGGTAGTTTCATCTCGTTGGAATTTGACTTTCGAAAAATCCGTTTGCCAAAAATAAGCTTTTTACGTCACGCAGTTTAAGCAGAATCGTGGTTAATCAATTACCCATCTTTTTGGAACACCCTGTATGATTTTTTAAAAAAATTCAAAATATGTAAAACAACCAAATAAATTATGCGTGCCCAGGCGTTATCCCGAAAGACTAACCGTTTTTTAAATAACAAATATTGTAATATTTGAGGGGCGTTTTCACCCTCTTGGAATTTCAGATTCGAGAAACCCCTCCTTATCGAACCTCTACACCCCACAGTCAATCAGTTTGCCAAAAATCAGCTTTAAACGTCAAGCAGTTTAAGCCGAATAGTGATTACTCAATCGTCATATTTTATGAAACACCCTGTATAAATTTATAAAAAATCTTAAAATATGTGAAACAACAAAATAAAATATACGTGTTTAAGTAAAAACTCACCGGTTTTTAAAGAATAAAAAATATTTTAATATTTGAGGGATAGTTTCACCCCCTTTGAATTGGAGTTTCAAAAAATCCCTTCTTATCGAACCTCTACACCCTAAAGTCAATCTGTTTTCCAAAAATCAGCTTTTTACGTCAAGCGCTTTAAACATCGTGATTAATCAATGACCAGATTTTTCGAAACACCCTGTATACATTTTTAAAAAATCATAAAATATGTAAAAAACAAAATATAATATACGTGTTTAAGCGTTTTTTCGGAAACTTGGCCGTTTTTTAAATAAAAAATATTGTAATATTTGAGGGGTGGTTTCACTGGAATTTCGAAAAGTCCCTTCTTATCGAACCTCTACACCCTAGAATCAACCTGTATGCCAAAATTGAGCTTCTTACGTTGAGTGGTTTGAGCAGGATCGTGATTAATCAGTGAGTCAGTCACTTAAGGATTTTATATATTAGTATAGATTGGGTATAGATTAATTTGTATTGATTTTACAAATAGGAATTTTTATTATTTTAACCAATATTTTTTTAAGAGGTCAATCTATATTAACACAACATAAAACATTTTGCCATTTGTGAAGATCATTTTGATGTAAGTTTATATATTTATGTATATTGTCTTACATTGGTATATGACATTTGAATGTACAAGGTTATTCATTATATTTTGACACCCACATACAGCCTTAACTGCAAGTTTTAGAAGAAAACATTAAATAAAAAAATTGCATGGTTTTTATATACTCTCTTTTAAAATTAATTCTAGTTATACAGGGTGTCTCAAAAAAGGTGGTCCAGAAAATTGTAGGTATTTTTCGCTTTTCAACTGTCAATATTTCGTAAACATTTGAAGATAGGTATAGGATATTATACATGAAATATATCTAGAATATCTAGAAATTTCCGAAGAATCCAAAAATATATAGGGTTTTAGTTTCACTTAAAAAAGTAACTTAATTTTGGCGTTTGCTTATGGGACACCTTTTATAATATTTTCATTGCTGATAAACAATTTATTTCCTATAATTTCGTAAAAAAAACAATCTTTAAAAATAACAATGGTAAGGGGGTGTCAATATATAAAAAAAAACTTTCTTTTTCACGCTATGCTCTGGAGTTATTTTTCCACGTACTAAATAAATATTTTTGTCTCTTTTCACTTCTACATAACCTACAGCATTATCTCCATACGTCTCCCTAACTGATCTGAAAAATAAGTTTATAACATTAATATTTATAACTATATAAAAGTTCTTAACAGTAGGTACCTACTTATACTTAAATATGCCTCAGTACTACAAAGAATAAATGTTACATACCTCTCTGTTTTTTTCCTCGTAATTAAGCACCAATAAATTGGGAATTTATATTTATAAAAGCAGCCAACATAAAAGCATCGACTTTTGGCAAGTTATCTGATTGTGCTTTTACAGACCTGGAATCTGCCATTACTTAAAAAATTCTCAGAACACACAACACGTACAAATAATAACTGCACAAAAAAGCATAAAAAGCTCCTCCAATCAACGCTAAAAGCAACAAAAATGTCTTAGTACGCCACCTAAATACGTACATAAACGGAACACGTCTGGCTCCTGCTGGCCATCGCACGTCGACGAGAACGGCGGGTGACGTCAGACCAATAAAATATCGTTTCAATTCGCGAGGCGTCGTTTGCGTTATCCATAGTATTTTAATGGCCCGTTTTATAAAATTGTGGTACTGCTTTCAAGAAAAAAGCTTTTTTTTGCATTTACACATATTTATTCTAATAAATTGAACAGTTTCTGGCGAAAAATAAAATATATGCATCTTCCTCATTGGAGGAAAGTTGCCTCTCAATGAGTCCAATGATTCTCTTATGGGAATATTCTGTATTATACATTTCTTGCGCAACTTAGCTACCATCCTTGTATTTGGGAGATCTTACGCTTCTAAAAATAAAGTAAAATAATTTAATAGATCTTCTGTTAAACCCTGCAGATTTAATTTAAAACAAAAAAACAAAAAGTTACAGTTATTTAGCACAAATACGACTATTAAAACCATTGACATTCTGATGACAGAATTCTATAAAATATTTTTATATTATTCAAGAATGTTTATAAAAAGTACAAAATATATGTAGTTCCAAAAGCTACAAATATATAATTATAATTATAATATAATTATTTAAACAAAAAATAATAAAAACTGATATTTTCGTGCTGTTAATAAAGCAACTGTAAATAAAATTGTTTTTTTCACTCTATGGCGAATGCGCCAGATACTCTGCAATAAAATAAAAAATGTAAATATTACAATTTGCATCGTTTGATCTGTATATCCCGACCGCTTAAAACCATTTTCAGTTCGGAACGCGTAG